ATGAATCGTTCAACTTTTCAGCTAATTCTAATTACAGTTGAAATCTCATTTGGACTGGGAATTTGCTCTATTTACTTGAAATTCTTGCAAAACATTTCAGAACAAATCATCCATTATTATATTGCTTCACTGTGTTCTTGTCTGCTTTCTGCCAAATGTAGTCCTGGGAACAATTGATATTTTAATGTATCATCCAGAAGTTACAGCCTAGACAAATCAAGAAAAATTGTTTAGTCTATTATAATTTGGCATATGGTCACTTAATAGCACACAGGAAGTCAGCATGAATGTTTGGGATTATTTTAGCTGTAAATATATTTTAAAAAAAATTAAAATTGGCTAGACTTCACTTCCGCGACTGATCTTGTCATTAAACTAGTCATTGCTGGCTCCTTATTTTTGTCTGTTAGTCATCTATAAGCAGTCATTCAGATTTGTGTGTGAAGTTTTGTAGAGCAGACTGACTTTTTGGATTAACCTTAGGGCTACCACCACTTCTCCACAGTGCCATGCTGCATTTGAGTCCCTGCATTCTGTGGTCTCAGTGTGAGGACGCAGAACTATGCTGGAGTTGCTGCCCTGGGGGGCAGGCATTACTCTGGCTCTCCTCTGCACCATAGTCTGTGTATATTGTTTTATTATTTTTCAGTCTTATGATGGATGAATCCTTAATTAGTTGAATAGCTCATTTCCATTCAGAGTAATGATGGATTGTGTTTTCTAGTGTCAAAAGAACAGACTTCTCTTGCAGAGAATCTCAGAACCAATTGAGTTGAAGAGGAAGCATTTAAAGGCCATCTAATTCAGCTCCTCTGCAGTGAACAGGGACACCCACAGCTCCATCAGGTGCTCAGAGCCTGGTTCAGTCTGACTGTTCCCAAGGATGAGGCTTCCACCACCTTTCTGGACAATCTGTGCATGTGCCGCACTACCCTTATAGTGAAAAACTTCTTTCTTATATGAAATCTGAATCTCCCCTCTTACAATAAAATTGAAACTTGCTAACTTTACATTTCCAAAATTAATTAACAACTATAAATAAAAAAACCAAATGTATTATCCTTATAGCTATAAGTGCTTCTTCTACCAACTTTTTAGGGAGAATTATTGTATTTCCGTACGAACACTATGCATGAAGTTCTTCCGGGTGCAGACTAGATACTGTTTTAACGTTTCTCATTCCTGCATACCTTGACTCATCAAGCTATACAGGTAGCATTTTGGGTTCCATTGTGTTCATGTGTGCTTCTGATGTGATTTGTTCTTGTGTGTTGGCTAGTGTTCCCGTCATCCCTCATAATTTTCAGTACCAAAATTGCGAACGCTAATTTGTATGTAACTAAAATCTGTTAAAGTAACTCTGCCTGCTGTGAAAAACTGAGTTTACTTAGTTCACACGTGGTATCCATTCTTTCTTCTAAGGAAGTGGGAAGCAGGGTTGGATTTTTACAGATTTCTATGGAAAATGTAGGATTTCAAAACTACATGTTGTGCAATTCTGAACAACGACAAAGAAAATCTGCATGTTGCAATTTGTTCTGAGAGTCAGCTTGCTAGCGCTGAGGAATATAATCTGTATGCAGAAATAGTGAGGATTTCTCTCAGATCATAACTTCAAAAAAGACAAGAGACATTCACAGTAAATTGTTCTGACAGGTCGCTCTATGTGTGAGGTTGTGCAGTGTCTGAATAGAAGCGCTGCCTGGAGAGAATGTGTGGACACTGAGCAGAGCAGCACTGCAGCCTCAGGTCTGTGTTCCATGCTTAACTGGCGATGAGCTATTTGTTCCTCAGTGGTGTCCACAGGAAGAAAGGAAACGCTTTATAAGTTGTTTAGCTGTTTTTCTTTATTTTCTTCTTGAAGAAATTGGAGACTATTAGTGCTCAGCAGCTGAGTTACATTAAAATATTTGAAAGGCCTTGAGTAGAATGTTTTGGTGAAGAAAAAACAAAAAAAAAAAAAGAAGAAAAATACTTCTTTCTTGTCTTCACTTTTAATGCAGTTCAGATTAACTATAGCTTAAGAGCATCTTGTGCTCCTTACCTTTTAGGAAGAAAGCACTGCAGAAAGCCAGGCTGAGGCTGTTTGGAACTAAATAGTTCTACAGGCTTCAGTGGAGCTCTGCAGTTTTATTTTCTTAACTTCTCTGATGATGATAGGAGACATGGGCCTTACTGCTGTGACGACCTCTGTATAAGTGAACAGACAGACTACCTTCAGGCAGGGAGAAGGAGAGCGGCCAGAAGGTCTTCCAGCCTGCAACTCGTGCTGTCATTGCCTCTCCGAAGCAGAGCACTTCCCCTGGAGCTCAGCTGGTATTTCTAGCATGGAACGCTTTCTCAGGGTAACTCAAAACAGAAGTAATTGCCATAAACAAACATGGTGACTTTTATTTTTTTTTGCCCAGATACTGTTCAGATAGAATCTGAAGACACATAGCCTTATTGCACCCTTTCTGTACGTATAAGCAGAGGATAAAAACAAAATGTAGCAAGCAATCTTTGTTTTAAATCCACATTAGTAAATTCAGCATGGATGTGTAATTAATGTTTTGTTTCCAATACTTCATATTTGAACAGCTGATAATAAGCAGGATATGTGTCAGCTTGACTCTTCCGTTATTGTTAAGCATCTTTATAAAGTGCTTACTGTTTTACATAATGGTACTGAGAAGTTTGGGAATAATGGCCACATATGTTTACTTATTTTCATTGTTGAGATCATGATGAAATGTTAATGAAGAATAATTATCAGAGTGTTTAATTTTCAAACACTTCCAAAATCTATTAATGTGATGAGTTTACTTAGCATTTCATACCAGCGGGTTATAGAATGCACAGCTGTCTAGGTGTGCCTTCCTACCTCACTTCTGTTTGGAGCATCTAGGCCCTGTTTAACAACCTAGGAGCACAAGCACTTGTAGCTGCTGTGTTACAAGTACCGCTCTAGCTCCCTATAGTAAGCATACTTGTCCACTGCAGGTAGGTGTGCTGGGCATGGCATTGACGGCTGCTTGGCTGAAAGGACATTCCATAGCAAACTCCTTTTGAAACAACATGATAGGAGATTCAGTTTGTTCTTTGTTTTTTTCTTTGCAAAACTGGGAAAAAAGAAAAGTTGTTTCCTTTTAGAATTGACTATCATAAAAAGCTACTATAATAATTAGTGTTAAAAGGCTTCTCATACTCAAGCCACTTCTAAAACAGGTTAAATATTAGTTTTCAAGTTCTTTACATTCTACTTTATTTTTATCTCTTAACAAAACAGAGATACAAAATAAACTCTAAAAGTACAGGCCTGCCTAATGTTCCACAGTTTGCAGACGCATGCTGTATCACAGTAATTGAATTTTAAAATCATGTTTCTGGCCAAAATAATGGAGATTGTTTTCTTTCTCCTCTCTCTCATGCTGTTATGAGTCATCTATAGTGTGGCATCATGAAACAATAGTGACAAATGAAATGCATACACCAAATGCTGTCCTTAATAAATATTAAGGAAGCTTAAGAAAGAAAACTGTAGAAACTCATCCCTTAGTGCCAGATTATATTCACGTTGAAATTTGTGACTTTCATTTAATTCACCATGCTGGTGTTATTATGGTGTTGTAATTGAGATTATATCAGTTTCCAATAAAGTAAAAACAAAAAGCAACTTTTTTTGAGGAAATAAAAAACAACTATTTAATTCCTTACTTATGAAAACATTATTTATAAAACTATTTCCCAGTGCTGGGTGTTTGCCAAGGGATGTGTATGGAAGGACATGACTGCTCAGAATTTGAAATGTTTCCCAAGATGAGTGGGCTGATTACTAGTGAGATGTTTATTTGTTGCTGGAGTTACAGGTTGTGATACAGGTTGAAGCTTTTGCCTATATTCACATTTCCTTTGCTACAAATACCGTCTCTTTTTACTTCTCATGAAAAATGATTCTGTTCTGAAGAAGATGGTAGCATATATTTATACATATGCCTGTATGAATATAATATTCAATGTTTTATAGTATCTCGCAGCAGAATAAAGTGACTTACACTGAAAGCTGAAACAAAACATTACAGTGACCTAGTAAAAATTGGCTGCTTTGTAAGGATTGAAAGAAAATATGTTGGAAAACCCTGTGGTAAGTCAAAGCAGCCTTTAAGATTGTTTGCTGATGGAGGTGTAGACCTTAGTTGAGGTTTCTCTGTATTATGCAATTTCTGCTTAAAATATTCATTCTGACCTTGTGCTTTAAAAATTATTAGAAAGTAAAAAATCAATGTAATCCTGGTAATTTAAATCATAGGGAAAGCAGAAGTAAATAACCACATCAATTGCTATATTATCAAAGGCATTTATCATTACCAGAACAAAGACAGAAGAATTGACAGTTAGTGCTGTTCTCAGCTTCGGTGATTCGATCTTCAGATGTGGCTCCAGGGACCCACATCCAAAACATAGGTGCTCTTAGTCCTGTCTTGAAACACATAGGTAGTTATTTTTGGCATGAGAATCTGCTGGTCATCACAAGGCCTTTTTCTAGGCACATGCAGGAATATTCTGTTCTTGATAAGCAAGTATCTTGGTATCTGACATATCTAAATCTACAGCTTAACGGCTTATATCTGAAGCTTATATCTAAGCTCCTAAGAAGGCTTAGATATAAATTAGGTATTTCTACAGTCATCTTGCATCTTAGGCTAAGTCTTTTTGGAAGGATCATGAAAGAATATGATTCTCTGTCTTTCAGCTTCCAAATGAGTGCCATAAACAGCAACTCAAGACATTTTATAAGGTGGCAGTTACCAACTACTCACATTACTTAATATTTCATTAATATTAATAATTCAATAAATATAAATATAATTCATTATTTCCATATAATCATTGTTGTATTTTATTCTAATTACATTGAGATCTTTCAAGTTATCCCTAAATCTGTTTTGCTTAGTAAATAAGTTGTTACACCTCAAAGACATAAAAGAACTGACATTTTTCTTCATTTTGCTTTCTTTCAGGAATTAAGCTGGGAAGCTGCAGAGCATTAAAGTGATGCATTCCAGGTGTGGTGGCAACGTGTGTGCAGAACATTTTATCTGAACCTTTTCAGTGGCCCGAAACTTGTTAACTTCCAAGGTGGAAGGGGTATATTCTTGGATACTCCTGTGCCTACAAAATAACCAAAAATGAAGGAGGACAATTGTTTACATGCCGCTCTTATCTGCCTGGGCATGCTCTACTACAGCCATGCCGTAACTACAGAAAAACTAAACCACGTACGGCCATCACTTCATGGTCACCATGAAAAAGGAAAAGAAGGACAAGTTCTGCATCGTTCAAAAAGAGGTTGGGTGTGGAATCAGTTCTTTGTTATAGAAGAGTACACAGGACCAGATCCTGTACTAGTGGGAAGGGTAAGTTGTTTTTCATTCATCAATTATTAGTTATTACTAATAGCTTTACTTTGTGAGTTGCTTTTCTTTCTTGCTGTCGTTTTTCTGTTGTACTAGCTCCTTCTTCAGCATCTACTTCTTTACCCAAAATTAATCACACTGTTGTAACTCAATTGAGGAGCTAATCAAAAGCTATCTAAATGAAGACAAGTTTTTCCACTGAGCTTAGCAATCTCTGAATGAAGTCATATAGCTGTCGTTTAAGACCATAGCAATCACTTGGAGATCACATACAACAGTATGTGCTAAGAATATCTGGTATCATTCTCAAATCTTTAAAAATAATGATAAAAATGGTAATGTCTAACCCGGCAGCTCAGAAAAGTGTACTGCTCTCTCTTCATCCTTTCATTTTCGAGTGATCAGTAAAATGAAATATATGAGGGGTATGTTTAGAGCGAGATGTAAATCTCTGTGTACCTGTGTATTTAAACACACCCTGGACAGATCTTTTATTCTGTTACCATCTAACAGTAGCAGACCATATATATATATATATATACGCACACACATACACATATATAAATATAAATATATATAAATATATATAAATAAAACAACATATTCAGCAGTTTATAGTGAGTCAGCTGGGCTGTGCTGACTTAACACCAACACAAAGAGAGGAGAATTGGATCAGTGACGTCAAATACTGTTCTAGCTATTCTGATTTTTAAAACTTTTACAACTGTATAATTTGTAGATGTAAACATAGAATGATTAAATACATAATTTGGCTCAGTATTTCCCTCATTCATCAAACCAAAATGTGCAATTGTTGTGAAAGTAATATAGTTCAGCAAGGATTTGCTACTGATGCTATTTAGTTTGTAATATAGAAGTTGCAATTAAAAACTAGTTGACAATCAATGGTTGTCTCATTTGTTATGTCCCATCTGTCACTTCAGTTTTCGTACAGCATAATGCTCCATTTTGTAGAATATGATTAGTATGAAAGGTACAAAATTTTTGTAAAAAGGGTTGGCAGGCTCTTCCTTCCAACTTCATTTGAATCAAAAGCCTTTTATAACTACCTTCTTGTGTATTTTCATCCTTAAATCTCAAAGCTGGCGTCTCAGTTGCACCTATATGTAGTAGCATGCAACTGCACAGGTAGCATTGAACACAGCACAGATGTGCTCACAGCATGGGCTCACTTATGGATTACTGCCTGATGTACAACAAGATTTTTGAAAACTGTGAAATTATAATAATTTCAAGATTTATTTTTTGTTTTGTAAACACATTAGTGAAATGTATGCCATCTTTGTTAAGGTCTGTCTATCTGCTTCTCATTTTGTAGCTCCATTCAGATATTGATTCTGGAGATGGAAACATTAAATACATTCTCTCAGGTGAAGGAGCAGGAATCATTTTTGTTATTGATGACAAATCAGGGAACATCCATGCAACAAAGACACTGGACCGAGAAGAGAGAGCTCAGTACACTCTCACGGCACAGGCTGTAGACAGGAACACTAACAGACCTTTGGAACCACCCTCTGAATTCATTGTTAAAGTCCAGGATATCAATGACAACCCCCCTGAATTCCTTCATGAAAACTACCATGCCAATGTGCCAGAGAGATCAAATGTGGGTAAGTACTCATAAATGCACCTAAGTTTCTCATCTTATGGTAGATACTGCATTGTCAGTACCTCTTGGCTTGATCTAATTGCTCTAGAAATTTGGGTGGTAAATTTTACTTCATGCTAAGTTAGTGATTCATTCCCTTGATGTAATTTGCTGACCAAATCAAACCTTCTGCAGATACTATCATGACAGAAGTGTATCTAGATTGCTCCTAGAACACAGCTGTTTCCTCGTAGGAAGGAACTTGAAGGTCCCCTAGAATTCATGGAGAGTGAAATCTCCGGGGTAAACATAAAGATCATTCTTTTAGCTGAACTGAATGAGTTATTGCCACTCTATCTATTCAGTTTTCATCTCCTGTTTGAGCTTCTGTCTACTGCAGAGATTTCTACAGAATAATTTCTTGAAACTTACTGGGGACAATGTAAGAATAAAACTCTTTTGTTTAACCGTGTAATGACAAAAAGGATTATAGTGCTATCACCTACTGAGGAAAAGAAACATAATGGTACAGAGTGACCGCTGACTTTGAGTTTTATATCTTCACTGTTTAGAATAAGAATCTACAACATAGTTGGTAAAAAAAAAAAAAAAGATTGCAGTAGTATATTCTGTTATGTATAAATTGCTAAGTAATTTTTTTCATCTAGTAAAAAGAACTAGCCATGCCACATGACTGCAAGTACCTCTGCATGGTTCTTACGGATACATTTGCTTCTGTTTGTATTTCTTCTGTCTTTCCCTTTCATTTTTAGGCACATCTGTTATTCAGGTAACAGCTTCAGATGCTGATGATCCTACATATGGGAACAGTGCCAAATTGGTTTACAGTATTCTTGAAGGTCAGCCGTACTTCTCAGTGGAAGCTCAAACAGGTATTATTGACCAGTTTATTTGAGTACGACTTCATAACTGGAATGCATTAAAATGAATGAGATATATTGATCAAGGTAGTACTGTGGCTATATCTACTGATGTATTTGAGCAAAGCATCTTTCATTTTTTCTTGATGTTAGTTAAGCTGTTTTACAGGTTGGTCCCCTGGCAATTGGTAGAGCTTCTGGGTACACTGCACTAGAAAAATGTTTCTATCTTTTGTGATATGATATAGTATGATGGAAAGAAAAAAGTTTCTGGGCTGAACTGTAATTCTTCAGGGTAGTTCTGTGCTCAGCTATTTAAAATATTTGGACTAGTTTGCTTGCATAGTATGATGCACAGTATAGCAACATTGCTGCAAATACGAAAAAAAATGCAGTTGTCCAATTATTCATGATGTAAATGTGAAAAATTGTATGTATGTGATGTATTTTCTTTGTATTTGTAGGAATTATCCGAACTGCCCTTCCAAACATGGACAGAGAAGCTAAGGAAGAGTATCATGTTGTAATACAGGCAAAAGATATGGGAGGACACATGGGAGGCCTCTCAGGGACAACCAAAGTGACAATTACACTTACAGATGTCAATGACAACCCACCAAAGTTTCCACAAAGTAAGTAACAAAATCCTTAATCACAGATACTACTACTACCACCCATACTTACAGACATATTCAAAACTTCCAAAATCAGTAACTAGTGGAATATTCTAGCACGTGTGAATAGATAAATATTATAAAAACATTTCTGCTAATAGCATGGAGAGCTTTAGTGTCTGAATGATCGGCTTTGCATCGCAAAGTGACTTGTTTGTTAAGGTCAACATTTGATTTCAAAGATTGATTACCCTATAGTTCATTTCTAAAACCATGTAATAGTAGAAATAAACCTACAATGTGATCATGAAAGCATAGTATGGATTTCTCTGTTAAAGGAGAAAGAAGCTCCATTTCCTAAAACAGGTAACTCTGTAATAGAAAATGTATCTCCCCTGCTGCAGTGCTGCAGGTTTATTGCCTTTTCCATTTTCATAATTAGAGTATGGATTTGAAAGAAAGTTTTAAAAAAATAACAGTGTTTATTACTCTGCCGTCTCGCTCCAATTTACAGGAGGGAGAGGAGGTTCTTTGATAAATGTGTACTCAACGTGAGATTAAGAAACAATGGTTCAAATGTTAGTCCAACCAGTTTATTACAAGTCTTAATCAATCAGGGAGATGGGAAGGGGAGCCCAGAGACTATTACAAATTAGGGGGATGGGGAAGAGAAAGAGGGCGATAGATAGGAAAGAAGCAAGAATTACTTAAAGCAAGGACAGTCACCAGCAGGATCCAGCAGCATCCTGTTGCATGATGGTCTGAGGCAAAAGCGCAGAGGGCAGCAGCAGCAGAGCGGTCAGCCTTAGGCAGCAAGCAGGTACAGAGACAGGGTAAGTCCTGCAGGAAGTGGCAGGTCTCAAGTAGCAGGCCCAGGACAATCTGAAGCTTGTGAGGCTTCTGATGTCAGAGACCACCTTGTTCTTCTTGAACATGCACCCATCATGCTGTAGTTCTCAAGCTACATGAGCTTTCTTATTGTTGTTTTTTTTTTCTTTTTTCTTTTGACTCTTGATAGAAGTGTTGCATAATCTATTACCACCTCCTGATTATACCCTTTCATGTCTTTGACAGACCTTCAAGAACATCATTTTCTATTTCACATAGTCTTTCATTTTCGGTGCTGATGCTTCATCCTTTACTTCTGTAAACATTCTCAGGGAATAACGTAAGGATGAAGGTGACAGCTGGGTACTCCACATGCCTTGTATTTGCCATGGCAATACAAACCAAATTTGGTACGATTACATTTTGAGAATGACGGTTGAAATGTACTGCTACTGGTTAAATAAGGTCTATTTCAGTACCTGTGCTATTTATTTTTCATGTATAAAATTAATCAGGGGTGACATTAACAGATTTGGTCTTCACAGTTGGGTGGAAATACATTAATGGACCCTCACAACTGTCCTACATCTCATGTTTGTGTGGGATTTGTTTTGGAGCGCAGCATATGCACCACTGCAATCCCACTCTGTTTCCACTCTGAGCATCCATACAGTACAGCTACATCCTGGATGTGAACATCTCTCTAACAGCACCTCCGTCCGTCTGGCAGGTTCCTGGACTCTCATGCCAGAACTTCAATGATACAGCCAGTCCCTAAATGTAGAAATCTGTCAGCATTCTTTACTGTTCTAACAAGAAGGTACCGGATCCTAAAAATGTCAGGCTTTACATAGCTCATGAACTCACCTCTTCAGTCCAGTAATAATCTAGGACCCCTTTTTGCAGAGTAGATCATCAAATCATATATTTTTCTCAGCAAAATCTAGCCACTTTACTGAGTGGAAAAAAAAAAAAACAAAAAAAAAACCAACAATGTAAGTCTTGGGCAAATATTTAAATTGATAATCAGACATGTGAACTAGCAGTTACTCTATTTAATCATTTGCTCCTAACTTAAAATCTTTATTTGGAATACTTGTGAACAAAAGCAGGATTTGATTAGTCTATGTTAACATCAAACTGGTTTCTTCAAAATGATTCCTCGAACCTTTAATGAATTATCTGCTTAGATTCTGGATTTTTTGTGACTGGAGTTAATGGCCTATTTCAGTTGTCTTTATGGGTAATGAGCCAGGTCCCTGCCTCGTGTAACTCTCTGGATGTTCCCAGAATGAGACTGTAGCAAGAAAAAACAATTATGGAGGGGAGGAGAAATTATTTTTTCTCCTGCAGTTTTGTTGTTGTTTGTATTATTTTTTACTCATAAATGGTGATTAAGTGGCATAAAATGTTGCTGTAGATATGTAGATTTAGGATCAAGTTACATTATTTGAAATCTGGAATGTTTTGGGAAGGTCCAGGAAGCAGTGATGCCTGAAGGACAACTGTTGGTGGGAGATTTAAACAGAAATAGTATTGTTCTTTTCCAGTGTCCCTAAATACACAAGGAGAAATATGCAGGGCATCACAAGTATGAGATGTTTGGGAATGGTTTTCCTATTTTATTCTGAGAGAAAGCTTTCTGTGTGTGTGAGAGAGAAAGCAATCTTTAATGGCAATTATTTTAATAATAACTATTGCAATCATTTATTCATCAAATTAAAGCCACAGAAAGCCACACATTTATTCTTTAGGCAGTACAGAAGTGAGGTCTATCCAATTCATGTTACATAATTTGTGGCTCCTGAAAAAATGGGCAGAAACACTTTTCGAATATAGAATTGAAGGTTATACTGTGAGTCATATGAAACAGAATTGTCCTTCCATTTCTGTAATAACAAAATCTCCAATATGAATTGTAACCTTGATGTCACCGTAATTTCTGCATTCCGACTGATTGGTGGCTTTTTTTAACCCCTCTCTGCACAGATAGGTACACAGATGTTATGTAAAACATCAGTGAGGAGGTAATTTTACATAGATTAGGTTGTGTTTTAAGATTTCACAGATGACTAACTTCTCAGAGCTCTTTGTACCATAACATTCCTTCAGGGGATTTGAAAATGTAAAATATCACCATATTTAGTTGGAACTTCTTATAAGTTAAATGAGTAAACTATACAACTGGAAAGCAGACTTCAAACTTGAGGCAAGTGCCTGTTTTTACCTTCCGCCAGGTGTGTACCAGATGTCTGTGTCAGAAGCAGCTGTTCCTGGAGAGGAAGTAGGGAGAGTGAAGGCCAAAGATCCAGACATTGGGGAAAACGGCTTAGTAGCTTACAGCATCATTGATGGAGATGGCATGGATATGTTTGAAATTACAACAGACTATGAGACTCAGGAAGGTGTTGTAAAGCTTAAGAAGGTGAGTAGAACTGTCCTTTCAAACCCAGTAAAGTGTGGCATTCTTTGTTTCTGCCCAAGAATTTGGTAGTAATGGGTTAACATCTAAGCTAAAATATCAGTAAATGCAGTTTCAATTAATTTGTGTCTAAAGCTGTGATTAACTCTTAATATTCCATTTCCCCATTAGCTGAATTGGAATGGAAGAAAATAACCAAGAAGAGTTACATAAAAACTGTACAGTGGATTAATTGCACAAACTAAATGAATTCATAATAAAAAGTCACGGTAAAATACAATGCCATCAGCTTCACTGTTAATGAAGTTTTGCCTAGTGCTGATAAGTAGCAGACATTCACTGTTGCTTTATGTTCAGTCTGAACAGCCTCATGCCCTATGGTTTAAAATCCTCAGCTACGCATTGTCCACAATATTGTTCTGAAGGAGTCACAGGCTATGCCAAAAGCAGCAAAACTAAGGTGATTTCATACATCAGCATATTTTTAGAAGTGTTACTAAATGAATGCTAGGATACAGTTTAGAAATCATAAATATTATTCATTGTTTAAGCGTTATTATTTTGCCTTTTGAGTCTTTTTAGCTCTTCATCTCTCTTGGAGGTATTCAAAAGTCACAGCAGGAGACCCCGGCATCTTCACTTCTGAGTTAGCCCTGCTCTGTGCATTAGGACAGTCTCTCAGGAATAGACCCAGAGGTCTCTTCCTCCAATACAAAATTATGCTGTGCTACAATTACAGTATTTGTTCTATAGATGGGAATGTATGCTTTGTGTATTTTAAAATGTGGGCTTACTGGTGCTGCCTGTATTCCATCTATGTTCTGAGTCTTAACTCTGGTGAGTTGTTCTTGGCAGCTGTTTCTCAGATATTTAGAGGCATGACCATTTTGAGGCTACCAATAATGCAACACAGCAGCCATTTCACACTGATGACAGGGCAGCTCTGCTGTGACATGTATCAGGCTCTCTGAAGGACTTATGGGAGTATTATTTCACTTCCTCTTTGTAAAGTGATATGAAATCTATGGACAGGAAAAAAGAGAACATCATAACTTCTCTTTTGTGCATATCCATATTTAAAGGAACACGTACCAGCTTGGGATAGATCAAGCCTGACATTCTGTAGGTAATCCTGTCCCAACCATCCCTCTTTTGTGCAGTGCAACAGGCTGCATCAAGAAAACGTTAATTTTGCCAGTAAAGATCATTTCCTGAAAGATGCAGGAAGCAAAGAGCAAGACAAGGATTCTGTCTTGGTATTTTCAGTTTCTTCATATGCTGCTCCATACATAGAATGTAGCTCCTTCTATTTGAGTCTTTTTGTTTTTAAATACACACATTTCAGTCCAAGCTTGTTGACAGATATGCTCACATTTGTTGTATGTTATTGAATACTAGGGGACTGTTTACTGCTTTTACACTCCAGTTTAACTAACTACGTTCAGTGAATGGGTTATTTTCTTGTTTCTCTCAGGTCTTGGATTTTGAAACCAAAAAGTCCTACAGTCTGAAGGTAGAGGCAGCCAACGTGCATATTGATCCGAAGTTCATCAGCAATGGGCCATTCAAGGACACGGTAACAGTGAAGATTACAGTGGAAGACGCTGATGAGCCGCCTGTATTTTTAAAACCAAGTTATATTTTTGAAGTACAAGAAAATGCAGCATCTGGTACTGTGGTTGGAAAAGTACATGCCAAAGATCCTGATGCTGCAAACAGTGCTATAAGGTATGCTCCATTAGAGCAGGGTGTTTATTTCTAAAGCACTTTAAGTTTTTAGAATTGTTATGCAAATTACTAAGGTAGCATAACAGACCTAGGATAGCAATATTCTAAATTTGCCCAGAATATTTAGTAACAGTAACCATACAGGTACTATTCTTAAAGTCCATAGCACGAAGAAATACTTACCATTGCTATATCTACCTAAAACACACATAAGGACATCTGAGTTAGACACTATTCTATGCTTCATTTTTTAAATAAAATATCCTGTGCTATTATCACAGCATTTTTTTTCCTTGGAAAATAAAATTCTGGGCAGTAGATTGTGCTCTATGTTGGGTAATTGTAAAGGATTAGTTTCTAAAAACAAGTACAAATACATACCTTTCTGCAATTATATTAGGAAGTCTTCCATTAGTTTATCTTTATCAAGCTTAAATTGTAAAACACTTTCATGGGTATAAATAACATTTCAAAGACTTGCATTGTAAATATACAAGAATCAGAGGTGTGTACAACTACGGAACTGTGTAGATAATAGATAATATTTAATAATCTGGCTGGAGTGATCAGTTAACACTGAGTAATCCAAAGAGCAGCAGATGTACTTAAAAGATCTTTGATCAATATGAAGCAGATAAAAACATAAAAAAGTCTCAGATATTTAAATAAATATCTCAGTGGGTATTTTTATCATGTATTGTAAAAGAAGAACATAAATGTTTTGGTGTTTTAACATAGGGAGTTCAAAGAACAATAATTTCCATTTACTGAAAGCATACTGGCATAATTTTTTTCTACACATAGAATTGAAACTGGTCAACCTACTTTTAAAAGAACCACATATCATCCCATTGATAACACGGGTAGGGCTTACAGTTATTTAAAAAAGATGATGTTATAGAACAAACTTGAATGCATGAAACTGCTAAGTCTTTCTGTTGTCTAATTACTCATTTTTCAATCTTCTTTAGGTATTCAATTGATCGTCACACTGACCTTGAAAGATATTTTACTATTAATGCAGACGATGGCAACATCAAGACAATAAAAGCTTTGGATAGGGAAGAAATTGCTTGGCATAATATCTCTGTCTTTGCTGTTGAAGTCCGTAAGTATTTCACAGAGTTCTTTTATAATCAGTGATGTAAATTCTGTAGTCTTCCACTTGTCTCAGCTTGGTACGCTGCAATAAATCCCAGTAGAAATACTTAAGCCTATTTCTTCTTTACTTGTACACAGCTCATACAGTTTTTGCTGGGATTTTACTTGTTTCAAGGGGTCTTCCCTCTTCCATTTCATTCTGATTTTGCTAACTCCCATAGACAAGCAACACCAGGAAGCCAAAGTTCCAGTTGCAATTAAGGTTGTTGATGTCAATGACAATGCTCCAAAATTTGCAGCAGCCTATGAACCGTATGTCTGTGAGAATGCTCGAACCAATCAGGTATGCCTGTGCTCTCCCACCATCCCTGCACATCAATTTCTTACTTTGGAGTGTTTAGCTCAGTTTTGTATTGGCAGGTCAAATATATATATTTTTAAATTCTGGCCAAAATATGTTAAACAAACAGAAACATAATTTCCTTTGTTTTTATTTTGAATTACTACAAACTGTTAGCAATAGAGTGCTTTGTATTTTGGATGTGACTGGTGTTGACTGTGGGGATCCACCAGTAAAGAAGCTGCTTGGGAACAACTCACTCAGTTGAGCTTGTTTCAGATATTAAGATATTCAGATATTAAGAAATACTCAGCAGCTTCTAAGGGTCACAGTACACTGCTTGAGGGGAATTAGCCTAAAGATTTATCTCTGAAGAAAAAGAATAGCATCAGATGAAAACAAGGCTCTACACACTGTCTGCACTTCAGGAGTTAGTGTAGCAGTTTGGAAAAGATGTGCTAACTCAGTGTGAGCTGCTGAAGTTTCTGCAAACTTTTATTTAGCTTACTAATTTAACGTTAGCAAAGATTTGCATATAAGAACGTGTGGGTAGGTGTATACTTTTACATCTATAAATGTAAAATGTAATACCAAATAAAGATTGAATTCCAGTTTTTAGTAAGTAAGTATGCACTATGTTTATAATTACATACATCTGTTGAGATGCTTTGCAGTTTTCAGCTATATCATTTGACTTTCCAAGTTCTACATATTCTAATGATTTCTCAGAATGCTATCTGTGTGTGGTGCATCCAAAGAAGGAGCTGTTTGCTTACAGACTACTTTTCTTTTACAGCAATTTATTACAATTAGTGCTGATGACAAAGATGATTCAGCCAACGGACCAAGATTTATCTTCAGTTTACCACCTGAAATTATTCATAATCCAAACTTTACACTCAGAGACAACAGAGGTTTGTATGCAGGTTTCCTTTATAATAATGGCCAAAGGAAAACTAATGCCCAACTTAATGTCACGCAACAGCATTTTCATCAATTTTGACAGAGTGCCTCTTTTCTAGAGGTTTAGAGTTAAAGAAAGAAGAAATACAGCTCAAATATGGGGATGTTCTTGGAATAATGCAGTGCTTGTTAACTCACTTTCATTTTCCTGAATACATATTTTAAATTACATAATAATGCTCTGCATGTAAATCCACAGCCTCTTCATTTTCCAGGAAGAGGGTGAAAAGCACCAACAAAATTGTTCAATAAATGTGAATGGCAGAGCTCTTTGATTTAAACAAAACTACTTGGTAAGCTAGAATTAGTGGAGAAATACATCCTCCATTACACTGTCTGTATTTATTTGTTCATCTAACTGTGCTTGCTAGTTTTTGGGCCACAGGAGAATGCAGACTAGGGTCTAATGGAAAAAGTCAGTACCACACTAACTTACTGTACAAAATTATTGCCTTGAAATGGAAATCCAGATGGGGTGCATCTCAGCGTATAGGTATCATGATCCCTTTACCAATTTTCTGTTAATGAGGTATTCTTATAATGAAGTACTGCAGTCACAATGAGTACAATAAGAGGTAAGAAATTTGTACATGGGAAAAAAAAGGCATAGATGAAAGCCAGAATTTATTTGATCTTCTGACACGGTAACATCAGTGAACCTAACTTGCCAAAGGCTCAGGAAGCCAGAGACTTAAAAAGAGAGAGAAAATGAAAATACAAATTCAGCCATTATAAATATTTATTATATTTTCTTAATGGTAATCATTATGACATTCATGTTCAATGTTCATTTGTTTTTTTCCTGTATGGGGAAAAAAATACAGTTTCAGTTCCTGAGAAATTAGTTTTTAATTAGCAAACTTTAATGTTTGAAGGAAACTCGGATTCTTTTCTGAAATGTAGTACTCATTTGAACTGGCTTAAATAATGAATCCAACGGATTCAGTCTCGACTGCCAGAAATACAAAAGGCAACATCACCAGCAACAACTTTTTTTCTCCCAAGTGTTTTGTTCTGGTATGCTTTCTGCCTCTATAAAAACCTGAAATGAGGGTAGCTGTCATCAGAGTTCCAAAACAAAAACTCCGTAATTCTTGAAGGATCAAAGTAATATTGTTGCCTAGTGCTTGACACTTGTACATACATAAGCAATTCAAAAAGGATCCAGTGAAGAGGACATATTTATTCTCTTTAATGTAGTAAAACACAATTTTTGAAAAATTGATGAATGTATTTTTAGAGAAGTAAATAAAAATGAATCATTTACTTGAGACCCTGAGGCCAAATTTCTCCTGAAGAGGTAATTTATGGTCATTGCACCAAACTGAAAGTGTTTTAGAGTATTTAATCTAAGAGAGAACAGATAGGTTAGAATTGAGATGCTCTGATACAGCTGCAGGCAAATGATATTTTGGTCTTACTTCAGACAACTGCATTAATCCTTCATTTCCACGTGCAGCAAATTAATTTTTTAATTATTATTATTTTAATGACAAAGGTAATCCAGATAAAAATGTTTTGCAGTGGAAATGATGATACATGTTGAATGCAGAGGCTGACAATTGTGGAAAAGGTTATTTAAACTAGTTGATACTTAAGAGCAAATCTTCCTGTATAATTTTGTAACCAGGAAATAAATATTGTAAAGCAATCCATCCATTTGCAAACAGTCATTTCATCATTTTTGTATAATCTTTATTGAATACATGTTGTCAGTGTAATTATTTCTGTATTTTTTTAATATTAGATATGATAATTAAAATTATACATACTTCCATAGAAAGAACTTTTCAGAGAGAGCGTTACTATCTGCAAGTCAAATAATTTACATGATCATTTAAAGTTTCTTTTTTCATTTGTAAATCTGAGCAGCTACATACCGTGCCATCACTTTCAGAGCAAATTACTAGTTTCAGAGAAAAATGGCTTTATTAACTGTGGAGAACAGTTAATGAAAACTCCAATGTTTGGGACTATTACAGAACTTTAAAGTGAATAGAGTCCTATAATTATCATTTAATAGTTTCTTTCTACAACCCCTAAAAGTAATCACATATTGCAGTACTCCAAAAAAGTAATCACATCCCACATCCTATTAATAGCCTACTGTGTTACCAACTTTTTCAGCTGAGACTATCTTCCATAGAAAACATGAGATAATGGCTTATCACATGCTGTGATAAAACACCAAATTACTTTTGTGCTGTTTACTTACATTACACCACATAAATAAACAGCACTGTGTTAGCCTGGGCCCTGTTCAGTTTCAGTCCATTGATGTCAGAGCTTCAAAAGACCAGCAGAGGCTCGTGACACTTCTCAAAAGAGATGGATTTTTAACAGATGGATTTCCTGCTTTAAATCCTGCTCTGTCCTCAAATGAAATGCCCTTTACGTGGACTCACCTTGTATGAGCCCGGCACTCAGCCAGTATTGCTGGAAGTACTGCAACCACCCTGCTATTGCTTGCTGCACAAGGATTTGTTATACCACACAAAATTCAAGTGTAGCAATGTTTCCAAATACGCCACACACAGCTTTATAAAGACTGAAATTAAGTTTGTAAGTCAGTTCACTAAAATCAGTGACTAAAATCCATTTTTTCAATATAAAAATACTCTCTTGCACTCCACCTTTTAATCAAGAGATTTTGAAGCATATGAACAGTAAAATACAGTGTTTTGCCATGGATTTTCTGTAGCACTTACCAGCACTTAGTAATGATTTCAGGCACTTGGACACCTGGAATTCTTCAGGCTTCCTGCTGAGTCAACACTCTTTCTGCTGAAGGTGACAATATTCACGATGCACTCAGCTTCTTTCATCTAGAAGCATCTTAACGTAGTATTGGGATACACAAGCCTCCAAAAGCTAATCTGTTATTACCTTTATGTAGAAGAAAAACTGGGAAAGCATCAAAGAAACCACCAGAAAAAGGAGAATCAAAAATCAGAAAAATCAACTGTAAACATCTTCATGACACAATGCAACTTTAACTTTTAATTTGAAAGATTTCATAGAGAGTTCCTGCGGTTTTCACTTACAACAATTTTGGATATTGGAAATTCCAGGCAATAATAGCTGAAAAATGAGAATATGTGTATTTTTCTGGATGACATCAGAGTGAATATTTTCTTGTTTTTGTCTCTGTGTTCTCTAAGACTGACAGCCTGGTAGCTCCCATATGTGTTAATAGTTTTAAGCCAGTACTGACATTTAGCTTCTGTTTCTTGGCTTAAAAAATGCCATTATACCTGGATTATAGTTGTACTCCTGGGACTTGAAAATGATGAAAAATCAAGGATGAGAATATTATCTAGGATTACATGTTTTCTTTTGTTTAAGTAAAGAAGATTTTTATTTTTCTCTTGTGGATATTATGTCCCTTCTAAATGTGAGAATTGAACAGAAAAAGAAAAAAAAAGATGCAGTAATCCTTTTTCAACTTTATAAAGGCGTGCTGATTGGATTTTAAGTTTAAAAAATTGCAGTAAACTAGAAATCACCCACTGGATCACATTCAGCCTTAGTATAACACAGTTGACCATAGTGGAGCTGGCTGTACTTCATAACTGAATAATTTGCTATCCTTTTCCAGTAGGAATACTATTTAAGCTGCCAACATTCAGGAAAAATACAATATTAAAAAAAAAAAAAAAAAAAAGAAGAAGAAAAAAAGTAATCTACGGACTAAATATACTGATACATGATATTGTCTGTGTTCCATTTCAGATTGCCTCTGCAGCCCCTAGGTAGTTGCATCTCCAGCCTTATATTAATGTTCATATATATATTTTGCCACAAGAGTTATCTGCCTATTGCACTCTTTAACATAGCAGAGTAGATCTTTGTTTCCATGTCAATTAAATGAATAAATAAATACACTGTAGTCAATCCTTTGGAGTTATTTGACTCTATATCAATAGATGTTAAAGTATCAGTTGATGTGTTAATAGATGATAGATCTTTTATTTGTGTTTATATCAAATTGTCATGAACCCAATAATTTAATGTCCAAAAATAAGATGCCTATCACACAAACATTGATATTGCTAAGGTTCTTAAAAAATGGTGCCACAAAACCTAGATGGACTAATGTTTAGAAGGGTAAAATTACTGTGAAGAGACAAAAGAGCACCTCTGAAAAACAAAAGTGATAAATTATCAGATCTTTATCAGCTTTTCTATCCTCAGCAAATAGGACCAACAAGTAAAGGAGAAGTTAGCAAGTTTTTTTCTACCTGGGACGTCAGTGTCTCAAAGACTACAGTGCAGACGTAACCAGTCTGGGCATCAATTGTGCTGGGCCTGGAAGAAGAAGCAAAGACATTAACTTACTCATTCTACATATAACAAACAGATTGTATATAGGACAGTCCTAAAGAAACTCATCCTTTTTTTGCTGTGATCTTCAAAGAGTTCCAGTAAGCAGGGCCCCAGGACAGGCATTCTTCTCATCCCGTAAATTGCTCTGTGTCCAGCAAATCTGGGGTCTATTTCAGACCTTCTCCTGCTTCAAGGGTACTGTCTGTAAAGGTGGTTAATACAAGGCAAGGATACTTAACTTTTAGTATAATTTATTCACAGATTTTCAAGGAAAAAAATAGTGATTAGATAATTAAAAAGAGGTTTTATAGTTTGCATTATTAAATTCTTGAATTTATGCTGACTCTTCAACAGGAAAATGATTAATCTTCTGCAGTACCTCAAGGCTGCAATAAAATGGAAGAGAATAGCCCTCCATTAGTAGATAAAAGGACCTTTCTTTTCTCTCTTTTCTTTTTGTTAGATAGTGGAAAATCCATTCTGAAAACAGAAAAGGTTGTGAGAAGTAAATCTTTGTCATAAACTAGTTTTTGAAGGTCTGAAAGCCACAGATATGGTTGTTTCATTTTACTTACTTATTTCAGGGTGTTTACAAATTTATAAACTTTGATTCAGTCTGAGAGCTGAAAAACAAGAAGTACAAATAAAGAAATGCTGTTCATGTTTCCTTGCTTTTTTCTGGTCAGGCTGGGAGCAGGAAGCACTGGCTGCCTCATTCCAGTGTTTCATTTCACACACTTCCCTTTCAAATGCTCTTGCTCCAGGGAGAATGAAGGACTATCCAAAGTGACCTCTGTGCTGAGAGAGCAGCTTGGTTTCCATGCTCTGGACCAGGAGGCCCAAGGCATGCAACTCTTCAGAGAGAACAAACAGAAATAGTGTTAGAGTGAGGACTATCTTAACTCTTGTGTCATGGGCGCATAAGTAATCATGTGCCCCAGAAGACTGTGTATATGTGATCGAGTTGTCTGACTTCTGGCTTTGAGGAGTTTGGGTGAAAAACTAGTTCTGCCAAAATGTGGCTTACTTCACTGTGTCCTATTGAAACAGATGAACAAATCTGCTAATACGCAGTATGTGTTGACTTCTCTATCTTGATGGGAGACTTCGTTTCTTCCATTCCTGTAGGTCTGATACCAAGCACAATAACTCAGGGATTTGCTTTCTTCCCCTCCACCAGAGGTTTTAATCCTGGAAAAAGCCTAGAACTTGCACAAAGAGCAATGCCAAGGCCCAGTCATTCTAGTAGCTAATGAAGTATTGTGGATTTCCCAGAAAGTTAGCAAGGTGCTAAAGATACTACTCTCATCATCTATGATAATCATTTGTAGAATAAGCTTTCAAAAACATATGTACTTTTTAGTATAGTTAACATATCAGATTGCCTTAGCGCTGGTATATCTAATATTTAGCTGCTTATATGATGCCTGTTTTATAATAATCATAAACATTATGAGTTGCAAAATCATTGCTTTGTTTACTGTGACCATATTGCCTTATGGTGTTTAAGTAATTTGTGAACTCACATATGCAGGCTGCTAAGATTCTTTGAAAAGAGAACAATATATATGCAAATCAGTATTAACAAAGAGAACTAGATGTTGTGTTCCTAATCACCCTAAAATAATTAAAATGTATTGTAGTACTGTATGAATGAAATGTAGGACTGTGATGTTTTGGGTCATTCTGAAGGTGTCCTGGTTGTTTTTACATGCTAAATCATCTGAAAATTCAGTGCCATTGCAGTAATATATATTTTTTCCATATTTACTAAGGGGATGGATGACTTTGAGGAAAAAATGATGACTATCTCTCTTCTTTAAACAGATAACACTGCAAGTGTTCTTGTTAGACGTGAAGGATTTAGTCGTCAAAAGCAAGACTTGTACCTTCTTCCTATTGTAATAAGTGATGGAGGACTCCCCCCTATGAGCAGCACCAACACCCTGACCATCAGAGTCTGTGGCTGTGACAGCAATGGCTCCTTGCTCTCCTGTAATGCTGAAGCCTACATCCTCAGTGCAGGATTAAGCACCGGAGCTTTAATCGCCATTCTTGCTTGCATTGTGATTTTGCTTGGTAAAGTAGTTATTTACTCATTCTTCTACAATTATTTGTATTTAAAAGTTAAGTTTGCCTTTCATTCCAAGGTGTATAAAAAAATCTTAATCTCTTACCATGTATTCTTATGACAGGCTGAAATGCAGTATAGGATGACTGCAATAGCAAACACGAGTGCATATGTCTGGGTGCGCTCAAAGAATGTCCTTTTGTGGCCCAGTATCAGTTAATCAGGAGTGCTGTTTAAAGGAGGTCACGACATACAGTTTTAAGTTTTGTGATCTTCCCTGGATGACAGGTTCCTTATTGAGGTCAGCCAGGATTAATGGCTCCTGCCAGCTATTTCCCTCCAACTTCTCTTGTGTGGAAGACAAATGAAGGGCTCGGAAGATTTGCTTTTAAGAAAGTGCTATAAAGCATTTCCTATTTGAAAATATTTATATAAAATGTTTTAATCTACTCCTATTATTTAACAGCCATTATTTTCTTATATATTTAAGTTATTTTAAAGAAATCTGCAGTGAGAAGAAACACATCAGTAAAGACGTGTGTTCAGCTGTTGCTTCAGAACAATTCCATTTTCATGGAATGCCCAGAATGTTGGATTTTAGCTTTGGGCATACAAGAGAGAGAAGAGACTCATCCTGTTTTGCTGCAAGCAGACGTGATCGGACCACTCAGGGGCGGTGCTGCAGCAGTCACATAGCACTAGGGGCCCACAAATCCTTTTAATGAATTAAAGTTATGCAGTAATAAACAATTAGTATGAGTAGTGGCACTCAGCCCAAAGAGAAACCTTCAAACCCTTATGTTCAACTCCGTGTACAAACATCATAGCTTTTACTTAGCTGGGTATGCTAAAAATACAGATGCTAGCAAAACTACATGCTGAACTGGAGCATAAAAGCTAAGATTTCAAAGAATGCTATAATCTAGTTATAAAGCACTTTCTGTTTGAGAGTGAAGTCTAACCTATTTTCTTTTTTTTCCCCTATAGTCATTGTAGTGTTGTTTGTAACACTGAAGAGGCAGAAGAAAGAACCTCTGATTGTTTTTGAAGAAGAAGATGTCCGTGAGAACATTATTACTTACGATGATGAAGGAGGAGGAGAGGAAGATACTGAAGCTTTTGACATAGCTACCTTGCAGAACCCTGATGGCATCAATGGATTTATTCCTCGTAAAGACATAAAACCTGAGTATCAGTATATGCCAAGACCGGGGCTTCGACCAGCTCCCAATAGTGTTGATGTTGATGATTTCATCAACACAAGAATACAGGAGGCTGATAACGATCCAACTGCTCCTCCCTATGACTCTATTCAGATCTATGGCTATGAAGGAAGAGGCTCAGTGGCTGGTTCACTTAGCTCATTAGAGTCAGCGACAACAGATTCTGATTTGGACTACGACTATCTACAAAACTGGGGACCTCGATTTAAGAAACTTGCAGACTTGTATGGCTCCAAAGACACTTTTGATGATGATTCTTAACAATAAAGTTTAATATTTGGCCTTAAGAACTGTGTCCAATGTTCTGAAGAATCCAGAAGAAATGTAAGCAGGTATTTTTTTAAAAATCAAGAAAAGTCTCATTTAAACATTTGACAGAAGGGATTCCTTTGATAAAAAAGGACATAAAAGTGGTAAATACTGTGAAGTACCTTTTCCTACAAAAGGCAAATGCAGAAGTTGGCTGCCAACTTCACTAGAGGAAAAAAACCCACTTAAGAAACACAGAATATTTAAATGAAGGAAAATGCTAAAACTGAACCTACAGAGAAGGGAAATCTTTTATGTATTATGAACATCTAAATCTTTTATGTCAAAGAAGCTTCCACAAATTAGAAAAGTTAACAGTTCTGAGCTGTAATTTCGCCTTAAACTATGGACACTCTATATGGTAGTGCATTTTTAAACTTGAAATATATAATATTCAGCCAGCTTAAACCCATATGATGTATGTACAGTACAATGTACAATTATTATGTCTCTTGAGCATCAAACTTGTTACAGCTGATTCTTGTAAATCTTTTTGCTTATACTTTCATCTTGAACTAATACGTGCCAGATATAAAAACTCTGTCTTGTTGCAGTGGGAGGCGCCCTATTTCTATGTCATTTTTAATGTATCTATTTGTACAATTTTAAAATTCTTATTTTAGTATACATACAAATATCAGTATTCTGACATGTAAGAAATGTTACAGCATCACACTTATATTTTATGAACATTGTACTGTTGCTTTAATATGTGCTTCAATATAAGAAGCAGACTTTGAAATAAACTGATTCTTTTTTTAATTCTTGTTCTGGTTATTAAGCATATAAGAACAAAACATAGTGTTTCTAATGTCCCATTTATAGTTCTGACTAATTTACTACAGTTGTGACCTTTTAATAGCCTTATTTATTATGTGTTTGTAGTTGGTTTGTTGCCTTGTTAAGTGATTATTTAAAAATCAAGTACATTTTAAAAATGTTTCTTAGATTTAAAAAAAAAAAAAAAAACAGTGTAACGTCTGGTGAACATTTTGTACCCTCTATCTACAGCTTGTGGCTGCTCCCAGAACACAGTAATAATCTTCCTATAATACTACTGTGTTTTCTGGATTAAATTAAGTGTAATACTTTTAAATATGTCCCATATAATATGCATTTATCTTACGTCTTAGGAATTCCAGAGGTTTCAGAACTGACTTTACAAGTGGACAGGAGTACTCTGTGCTTACAGCTTACTCCAGGCTTGTGATTTCCCTGTCTGTGCTAAACTGCAGGTTTTAGAGACTGAAATCTGACCCCATTTAGCTATAAGTTCCCTAAAGACTGTTCTACCTGGCAATTACCTTACGTGAATATTAATTAAGTTTCTGGCACTTACTTTTATTTTATTTTTCATTTATTGCAGTAGAATAGAATCATCCACTGATAGGAAGGTGTTTTGATTTGTGATGACAGAAATACGGAGTGCTTTCACAGTCGTTCTTTGTAATGTATGTTTTTAATCGAAAAATGATCTATAACTTTTTTTATATTAGTTCAGAACGAGCAAGGGATTGGAATATGTTCCGTGCATCCACATTTTCAGCATCTGTGTACAGCTGTAGTTCTTCTAAATTTAATATAGTTTGCTGTTTAGGGTCAGAGATCAGCAGCTGCAATATGGGAAGAGGCAATAAATAGAAGTGATATCCATTTTTCTACTGTTCATTTTACAGACCCTGTCCTTCATTTGCAGTCAGGTACCCAACTGCTTGATCTGAGAGGAAATCTGATCTGTTGGTGTATTGCTTTTCTGAAGACCCCCATGTATGTAGTTAGATTAAAATTTAGCTCATTAAAATTATGAATGACGTTTCAGCTCTATAATCACAACATATTCACTTGTCCCATTATCCCTATGTTTTATAAGGCAGAGTTTGCTAAATCAGCAGATTTGCTCTATAATGTTTATTGTTATATTTCACTTTATTATAGCTGTATGCATTCTATATAATTCTATAGTTTATTATTAACTTGGTTCAAATTCCTTTGCCTGTTGATTTTTCTCTGTTTATAATCCAAAGAATATTTTGCTAGATTTGCACATTTCTCCATTTTAAATTTAAATAAATATTAAAAAACAAAATGAGTATCAATTTACAAATTAACAAATGGAAATAAAGTTAAAAAAAAAAAAATCATTTGTAGGACTCCATCCTCATTGATGCTATCTATCTGGTTTTGTTTCACTATTGAGCAAGGTTTAGAATTAATAACTGCATTTTCTACATTCTTATGTTTGATTTTTAAGAAGGACATTGTCAACTACATTTTTTAAGTTTCAAATGCTTTGAGTTTTTAGTCTCTATTGTTTGTAGCACTCTCGTAGATGCTTGGAAATAAATTTTCTTTCCCTGCTGGTTTTGTCCTTTTTCATTTGATTATTTTTCCCTTTCCCACTGAATATGCAATTATGATTGTGCTTTATTAAGTTAGTCTTGCTAATCTCAGCCAACACTACCTCTGAAATGCTGGGAATTATACTCATTAGGTATCATCTGCAGCACCCCAATGAACGGTGTATTTTGGCACAGATACAGAACATCTATTTGTGTTAAACTTCACAGCAGTGGTCACTGGAGTCTCATGCTCATAATGTGAGTGTAAAAATCTGCCCAGCACAGCAGTCCTGGGTTAGCCCCAACACAAATTGGAGAAGAATGTGAGCTGGGGCTGTAGTTGGTGCCAGCGTTTCCAAACGCCTGAGGAACCCGGGAAGGGATTTTACCTGCAGGAGCTGTTTTGGGGCAGTCTTCCTCACTCCCTGATGGAGCTTCACATTCCTGAAAGGCAACAGAAAGATTCATTATAACTTCAATGGGTTTGAAGGCAAACCATAATTAATAGGAGGAGCATCACAACTCTGAAGCAGGTAAGTTAAGGGATCCTAGCAAGTGCAGGCGATGCTTCAGCCTCTTATACATTCTGCTTGCAGCATCATTTAGAGATGGAAGAGCAGGGGAGACAAGAAAACTCTTCCAAATACTTTCAGTGAATGGAGTATGTGTATGTGCTCTTGATGGCAAAGAATACTCACCTCCTTGTCTGGCTGCTTGTCACCTAGAAATCTTTCATCCGAGGAAGGTTGTTCTGTCCCCTTTCTCTCATGCAGCCACACTGTAAACATACACATTTTTTCTCATCACTAGCAAAAAGCAATTAGGTATGCTGGTTCAGTGCTGGTTGCTAAGGGAACTCTCAAAACCTAAACTGATAGGGGAGGGAAGGGTTTGTTTGGGGTTTTTAAGTTGTCTCTGTCATGTTGTTGCCAATATGTCAAGCAGGTTTAGATACCATGTCAAAGGGTACAAGCTTGTAAGCTTGATACCAACATTTACATTGTGCACAGTCGTGTCTCAGAAACTGATATGACCACAGATGAGAAAAGATTTTAAATAATTTACATGTTTTCTTGGCTCCACACTGTTGACTGACAAAATAAAATGCTCAGTTTTACTACGTTGTTGCTGATAAGCCTACTGAAACAGTGAAGAATGGAACTTTAAATCTGTCTCACAAAGAGACAACCTTAGCTTCCTGGGACCAGAAAGCCTGGAATTCTTTCATGCCTTAGCTATCCCAGGAGAATTCTCAGTTGTGTTTTGTTTTGTTTTAATTGAAAACTGCAGTAAATAAAAATCTTTGCAAGTTTCCATATTGATGAGGTGGTACAGAGGTTCTGTACTCAGAGATGAACAGTTGGCACCAGAATTACATTCTGCATTAAAACAACAGCAACAATAATAATAAATTGCTTGTGTAAGGCAATCAATGAGCTCAGTAATATTAGTTAGTTAGCTGCTAGTCTCTCGAGTTTTTCTACTGTTATCTGTATTATTATATGTAACATCTGATGGACTTACTTCTTGATGCTTTAATCCAACACAGAGAACAGCCTGGCTTTTGGTTCTGCTCTGAGTGATGTTTCCAGCTTGTTCAGGTGGCCTACTAGTCATTAATCTCAGGTTTTGATAGGGAAACTTTTTTTGATAGATTTCAAATCTATCCCTGGTTCAGCTTGTCTCACCATGTACACCCAAGTCAAAAGAATAACAATTTTAACCAACTTGTACCTTCTCGCAAGTGAAATTCATAGTCATCTGGAAAATGTGCCTCTTGTAGTTCTGCACAAAATCCTGGGCCTTGCCTGTATTTTTTTTTAACCTCCTCCCTTAGTAACTTCAAACCTGCTTCTGAAGTTAGCTCTTCTTGTCTCTCTTCTCTTATCATAGGGAGTACAAAAGCTGTGACTTCATGCTCAAAGAGCAGCTGTGTTATTTGCACAGTGGATTTTGCCAGTGTCCAAAATCCATCTCCAGTGCATAAGCAGTGAGTTATACGTGCCAAGGGCTCTGTAGTAATTTCAGCAGCATTTATGGAGCGTTTCATGTTTCTCCTTGGAAAGAAAGAGAACGCATACAGCCTCTTTCCAGGTCAGAAATATGCCCCTCCAGACTTTCTGTTCAAGCTAATTCACACTGTATAAATAATTATATATTAACTGGGAAAGGGGATTGAACCTAATTCTGAAATTACCACTGACGCTCTCGTGATTTGTCTAATTGCTAAACTCAAAAAAACAATTATATATTTTATATATAAATTCATACACTTAATATATAAAATCACAGAGTAAAGATGGATACAGATATTTAGTTTCCATTTAGTTCACTTTCAGTAACTTGTAATTGCATCAAGAACAGCAACATCACACCTAACACCTCCAAATTGTTAGACAAAGAACTCCATGCTTCTGTGGGAAATATGCTTTGGTAAGGCAACATCATCACTGGTAGTAATGAGGTATAAAACATCTCCTACCTGTCCTGGTTTCCACTGAAGCAGCATTAATAGCACAGCTATGCCTTGGTTGCTGCTGGGTGATGGAAGCACAATGATCCTGGTGGGTCCTTAACAGTTTGGGATATTCTATGATCTGTGATTATATGGTGAAAAAGGCTTCAGACCTTGTATGACTGCTTTAAACGGAAGTTAAGGATCTTCCTTTCATTCTTTACCTCTCTCTTATTTTCTCTCCTCTACTAACAAGTGAAAAACATGCCTATTTTAACTGACCAAATCCACACAGGTTGGAAAAGAAGACAAAAGCAGAAGCAACTAAAGAAACCCTTCACTTGAAGAAAGGTCTGGACAGCACTAAGTTATTCCATGAATCCATGACTGCTTTGGCCAACTCGCAAACTTTTTCCAGCTCTGGCAGTAATAGATCTTGTGGACTTATTTACCATTCATCTCACGGAGGTGATTTTAAACACAGAGAGCTTCTGTAGTATTATTTGAGATATATAGAAATTCTAAGGGGGGTGGTGATTTTAGAGTCATGACATATTCATTTCCTCTACTACAAAACTTGATTTCCATGTCCAGCATGCTGTGCTGAGTGCCCTATCAATGGGTGGTAAGAAAGAATTTTTCATGGAGTAATAAACTCCCTGGAGCTTGGTAAGATGGCTTTAGGAAGTCCCATTGTTCCCCCACCACTGCAGAAAGTCCCTTCCAGGACGCTGCTCACCCTGCCACAGCCCAAGTTGTATTTTCCTTCTTATTAGCATACTGAAAAAAGTCATCATTAATCAAATGCAAGCACATTTAGCAAAGTTCAATGTGTATGAAAAATTTATGTCAACCTTTAGGCTCTATGACAGCCCCAAGGCTTCACTTAATAAGTTCTATAATGACTTACTGTTAATGGCTGATGCACATTATCTCTTTGAGGTCTATGGGGCCTTTCAGTAACATTT